AAAACGGTTCTTTGTGGTGCTAAGCACTCCATTAAGTTTGTGTTCTCGGCAAACATTTCATTGTGCTGGCGGTGCGCGATTTATGCAGAGTCAGGGCTAAATTCTGGCTCTACGGTCAAATGTATCAAATGCTCGCACAACACCGCACATAGAATGCATGCCAAGCCAGGCCGGCTACTTACGTCAGCAGCTACCTCGCCCTGCTTGCCAGAGCACGCGGAGGCCACTCATCCACGCAGAGGCTGTGCTGCACTCTCGTATGCTGTGCTATGCAGCACTAAGCAGTGCTGACCCACACTTTGCTGTGCTGTCCGATTCTAGCATACACTACTGTACTGTACTGCGATATTCTACCCCACCAAGTTAAGCTGCTGTCGCACTGTGCCCTGGGCTGGTGGCACCTAATGGGGAGGCTATGGATAGTGGTCACTCACAGGGAAGGGTAGGGTTGGTGGTCGCTCATAAGGAAGGGTAGGGTTGGTGGTCACTCACAGGGAAGGGTAGGGCTGGTGGTCACTCACAGGGAAGGGTAGGGCTGGTGGTCACTCACAGGGAAGGGTAGGGTTGGTGGTCACTCATAGGGAAGGGTAGGGCTGGTGGTCACTCATAGCGAAGGGTAGGGCTGGTGGTTACTCATAGCGAAGCGTAGGGCTGGTGGTCACTCACAGGGAAGGGTAGGGTTGTTGGTCACTCACAGGGGAGGGTAGGGTTGGTGGTCACTCATAGGGGAGGGTAGGGTTGGTGGTCACTCACAGGGGAGGGTAGGGCTGGTGGTCACTCATAGGGGAGGGTAGGGTTGGTGGTCACTCACAGGGAAGGGTAGGGTTGGTGGTCACTCACAGGGAAGGGTAGGGCTGGTGGTCACTCATAGGGGAGGGTAGGGTTGGTGGTCACTCATAGGGGAGGGTAGGGTTGGTGGTCACTGACAGGGAAGGGTAGGGTTGGTGGTCAATCACAGGGAAGGGTAGGGTTGGTGGTCACTCACAGGGAAGGGTAGGGCTGGTGGTCACTCATAGGGGAGGGTAGGGTTGGTGGTCACTCACAGGGAAGGGTAGGGTTGGTGGTCACTCACAGGGAAGGGTAGGGCTGGTGGTCACTCATAGGGGAGGGTAGGGTTGGTGGTCACTCATAGGGGTGGGTAGGGCTGGTGGTCACTCACAGGGGAGGGTAGGGCTGGTGGTCACTCATAGGGGAGGGTAGGGTTGGTGGTCACTCATAGGGGAGGGTAGGGTTGGTGGTCACTGACAGGGAAGGGTAGGGTTGGTGGTCAATCACAGGGAAGGGTAGGGCTGGTGGTCACTCACAGGGAAGGGTAGGGTTGGTGGTCTTGCACAAAGTAGGATACTGGCTCGTAGTTACTCACAGGGGAGGGAACTGGCTGCCCGATGTGGTGGTCTCCGTGCTTGGCGGGGCCCTTCTGGTAGGCCAATAGCACGTCTGCCAGGTCGAGGAGGTTGGCGCCCCTCAGAAGGGCCATGTACTCCTGCCGAACGGTGCCAAAGCGCTCCGGGGGGGTCTCTGCCCCCCAATTGCCCAGCCCCCCCAGTGCTAGCTTCTCCTGGAAGATCCAGCGCCGCAGCAACAATGCCTCCCCCAGTGGTGCCTCAAACTCCCCTCCAGCCTTGAGACACAGCGACACAAGAGGCAGAGACAGGGAGATAGTGAGTGAGATGTGGAAACAGAGGGACATCAGGCATGGTTCATAGGCAAACTTATAATCACCAACACACCCACCACATTATACACCCCGATACATTGACTCACACCTACTCACTCTCATATAGAGAAACCCTCTACACAGAGGTAAACACCGAACACATTATATTCATGACCACACACCTACACATATGCACACACCTACCAACAGCAACCGCCATTCGCCACTAAGTAGTGGTGACGTCACCACGGCACTTGTGCCAGGCTATGTGCACGTTGAGGCCACGTGAAGTGTCGAGCGCTCGCTGGCAAAAGATCACGGGGCAGATCCAGGTGCCACGGGTCGAGTGGCTGAAATGACTGGCCGATGCGCCACCTGTGCCCCCTCCTGTACCAACTTGCTGTGCTTTAGCCACCCGGCGCTCTGCTCATTGTTATGAGCGTCGCTCCTCCATCCTCTGTTGTTGGAGGGCGACTGCCTCCAACTGCCCAGTAGCAGCATCCTTCACGAGCCTCCTCCACAGAGGCTGATCTTGACACCGCTGGTACCAGTCATCGGCAAGTCCACTCAGCTCCACGTCCTCCACATCCTACTAGACACACATCTACAAACAACTATGCACCCCTACACACAAACCACACTACACAAACATAAAATTGTTGTTGTCCACGGGGTGGTGATGATGGTATCAGTAGGAGGCTGTCATGGTGGTGGTGTCAGTAGAAATATATTGTGGTTGTGGTAGTGTCAGTTGGCTCTCATGGTTGTGCTGGCTGTATTGGCCACATCTGGTCCCGTTGGTCAGCTACCTGCTTGCTGAGTTGCGCCATCGCGAGCTGCACTGCCACGAGTGTGAGCGGCGGCCCAAGCAGCGTGCAGCGCTCCCACGCGCCGCGGCCCGGGCAGCATTGACGGAACCACGTGAGAAGGGCACGCACAGACTCCTCCGGCGAGCACATGCTGCTCCTCCACACTCTGCACACGTGAACACGCCGAGTTCAACATGTCCATTACACCAACCCGTTTATAATTTCTGCCACAGTTGCTGTGATCTTGCAGTATCATTGTAATCTCAAATTCACTTTTGTCTTTGCATCCTCGGAGGACAAAATAATAGTTCGCTGCACTTCTAATATGCAGATGCACAAGGGCATCACCATTTTTTATCACGTGATAAGTCTGCCATCTAGCGGCATGATCTGGAAATAACATTGGTACAAATTATTTGGGTCTTTCGATAACGTCACGTAGATGGTTCAAAGAAAATAAAAACTAGTTTTTGGTTCTTTTCTTTTAACCATCTACGTGACTTTACCGAAAGACCCAAAGAATATGAATTCCTGCAGTCACGAAAGCTTTAAGTCAACATTGGTACAAATATCAGGGTCATGCCCAAAATACGATATTGTCCAAAATCACATTGAGACGGGTTGCAGAATCACGAAGCCGCTCCTCATTCAAGTGGATTGACACTGTGCGAGGCGGCTTAGCAGCTTGGCGTGCAGCTCGCAGGCGGAAGGATGCGAGTTCAAATTCTGTTTGGGAGTTGACGCAGCCCCATCATCCCACGGGAGGTTTGTGGAATTCCAAAACCTCATACACATGCTGGGATTTGGAGATCGGTGAGGCTCTCTTTTATACATAAATGGCATCGTAATTCTCGTGGTTTATCCATTTTCTCTTTGTCACTGATCCCGTGTATGCCTTTGTCTCTGTCATCTCAGCCTCCAGTTCCAATGCCTGTCTCCCTCTGTGCCCGCGTCTCAAGCTATGCCACTGTCTCCCTTGTCTATCCGTCTGTGTCCACATGTTCCTCTGTACCTTGATCTCTCGTGTCTCTCTCAGTAAATGTCTCTACCGTGTGTCTCTGTCTCCTTGTGAGTCTCTCCTTATCACTTTCTGTCTGTCTCTTGTGTATTTTTCATGTCTGTATCTCTCCTTATTTTTGCCTGTGTTCCCGTGTCCGTCTCTCCTTGTGTCCGTCTCCGTAACCCCGTGTTTGTCTGCCTGTACCGTGTGTCTCTCTCCCACCGTGTGTCTCTCCGTGTCCTCATATTTCTGTCTATCTGGACCTGTCTCTCCGTGTGTCCCTGAGCCACATCTCCCTACGCCTCTGTATATCTCACTCTCCCCGTGTTGTCCTGGTCTCTCTGCGTGCCCGCGTGGTGTCACCGTGTCGATGTCGCAGCCCTGACCCCCCCCCCCATCCGGGTCTCTCTGTACCTGGACCCTCACTCTCTACCTGGACCTTCTCTCTCTACCTGGACCTTCTCTCTCTGTACCTGGATCTTATCTCTGTACCTGGACCTTCTCTCTCTCTCTCTGTACCTGGACCTTCTCTCTCTACCTGGACCTTCACTCTCTGTACCTGGATCTTATCTCTGTACCTGGACCCTCTCTCTCTACCTGGACCTTCTCTCTCTGTACCTGGACCTTCTCTCTCTGTACCTGGACCTTCTCTCTCTGTACCTGGACCCTCTCTCTCTGTACCTGGACCCTCTCTCTCTACCTGGACCTTCTCTCTCTGTACCTGGACCTTCTCTCTCTGTACCTGGACCTTCTCTCTCTGTACCTGGACCCTCTCTCTCTGTACCTGGACCCTCTCTCTCTGTACCTGGACCTTCTCTCTCTGTACCTGGACCTTCTCTCTCTGTACCTGGACCTTCTCTCTCTGTACCTGGACCTTCTCTCTCTGTACCTGGACCCTCTCTCTCTGTACCTGGACCCTCTCTCTCTGTACCTGGACCTTCTCTCTCTGTACCTGGACCCTCTCTCTCTGTACCTGGACCCTCTCTCTCTGTACCTGGACCCTCTCTCTCTGTACCTGGACCTTCTCTCTCTGTACCTGGACCCTCTCTCTCTGTACCTGGACCCTCTCTCTCTGTACCTGGACCCTCTCTCTCTGTACCTGGACCCTCTCTCTCTGTACCTGGACCCTCTCTCTCTGTACCTGGACCTTCTCTCTCTGTACCTGGACCCTCTCTCTCTGTACCTGGACCCTCTCTCTCTGTACCTGGATCTTCTCTCTGTCCCCGTGCTTTCGGCCGCATTCGGTTCTTGGATTCAAACGCCAGCGGCTCGAGCCTGGCAGCCAATCGCGGCGCGTCCCGCCGTCCCACGTGACCCTCTCAACCATTGTGGAGTCGTGGGGGCGAGGCACGTTGCTGGTCCTCATCGCTCATTGGACAACATGGAGGTCACGTGGCACGTACAGGGAGGAGCTTCGTGATGTCATCAGAACGCGTTTGATGCGGAGAGCGAGCACGTGAGTTGTGCTGGGTCAGTTTCTCCGCGTAACCGGTAACCGATTAAGAAAACCGGTTTGCCAGGCAAGGTAAACGTTTAGAGCAATACACACAAACTGTATACGGTTAAATGTTGACTTAAATCTTGACTTAAAGCTTTCGTGACTGCAGGAATTTATAGTCTCTGGGCCTTTCGGTAAAGTCACGTAGATGGGTTCAAAGAAAATAACAAAACACGACGTTTCGATCGCAACGCAAAAGCGATCGTCACCAGGAGGCTGCGACTTTACCGAAAGACCCAGAGAACATCCACCGCGAGTGTGTGCGGCGGCGGCGGCGTTATAGCTGAGAAGCGAAGGCAGCTGCCGCGGTGCATCGTCCAGCGCGCTCCCGGTGCGACCCGTCCTCCCGGCGCGGCAGCAGTGGAGCGATGGCAGGGGGCATCGATGGGTTCGCCGCAGTTACTCGGTGGGCAGGTCGCGTGGAAGAGTAGGCCGAATACCCCCCACCCCAGCAAAACGCCCTCTAGGGCAACTCCTGCGCCGGCAGTGGCGTGAGCGACGCGAGGAAGTTGTTTTACGAAGTTGAACTTCACAGAAGCGCCAACATCAACTGGAGACGTCGTCCCTGCCGCGATCATTGTCACGAGCTGGGGTGGTGGTGGGTGCCAGTTCGCAGCGCCGCCACGCGTGGGTGACACGCGTGAGTGACACGTGTCACTCACGCGTGGGTGACACGCGTGAGTGACACGTGTCACTCACGCGTGGGTGACACGCGTGAGTGACACGTGTCACCCATTTTGACGTCACGTCAAAATGCGCAACTTTAAATAAATATAGACAACACTTTCTACTTAATTAAATTGACTTTTTAATAAATGTTTTCTACAACATCAGAGTGCAGCGCCACATTAAATGCGCACTACAATGACAATAGTTTAAAGCGATTTGAAGCATGTTTTATATCTTTTTGGGGGGGGGGGGCAGAGCTTTGTGACGTCATATTTGAGGGGGGTCTGACTTTTTGTGACGCCGTGTGACGAGGGGGGGGGGGGGGTAGAATAAGAGAACAACTCCCACTACTACCATCACTGCTGTATGGAACTCGGGGTTGTTGGGGGCGCGCCTGTGGCGCTCCTCACAACCATTTGCGGCCTTCGGCCAGGAAAGTCACGAAACAAATTTCACGCAAACGACGCCTTCACACAAGCACCCGATGCTCCGTTTAGAAGTTTTAAAATGAAACATCTTTGAATTGTATTATGTTTGAATTAGGTAATTGTATTTCTTCGTTAAAAGCTTAAATCATTTTACATCTAGAAGACTTCATTGAAAACGACATTTCGTGTGAATTTTCTCTCGTCAAGTCGATGGCCTTGCTGGGGGTTCGGTTCGATGCGGACTTTCACCTTCATGGGATTGCGGGGTCGAGATAAGGCGACACGGAGTTGCTGGCCGTGCGAGAAGACCGCCGCCTGCAGATCGATTCCAACGTAATCGAACGTCTGTCCCTGCGCCTCCGTCGTTCATGCAGGGGGTGTGTAGGTTTGCAGCGCCCTCTGCATGAAAACGACGGAAAGTGCAGCGTTCATCACAGATAGATAAAGTTGTGCGCTTATATAAGACTATAACCGCTATTCACGCAGCGGTGAATTGGCAAAAAACTGGAAATTAGTTTTAATAATGTATAATTTAACCACTTTAGGACATTCTTCGATGCTTACACCTGCCTCCTTCCCTTGCCCGTCTCTCTCCCTCGTCTGCGTGACCTGCCCTGTCGTGGGGGCGCACGGCCGCAGGATGCCTGTCGGGGCGGGCGGTGCGTCCTGCGTGGTGCAGCTGGAGGAGCGCGTTCACGTCGTGGAGTTCAGTCCGTTCCCCCGCAGCGCTGGGCTCATCGCCGTGGGCTGCGGCGCCCTCATCACCCTCGGAGCATGCACGCTGCAGGTGAACCACTGGGACGGCCTCCGGGTGAGGTGCAGCCTCTAATGGAGAGCTGGGCTACAGTTTTGTTTTTTACAAAGTTGCTGGGCACAGTCACAAAGGCCCAAATGGCACGATCGCATTCGTAATAGAAAAAGAGTGTAATGCATTTCTTCAACTGATCAAGGTTTTATATACGAGTCTGTGAAGAGAGATGGTAGGAGGGGATTCAAAAGTTGAGCAGTGCGAGGGAAGAAGCAGAAAGTGAGGTGACCTGCAGTCTGGTGAGTGGGTAGGCGAGTAGGGGAGTGAGTGTATAGATGAGACGAAACAGTCTTTGACAAGTTATTTCCTGCTCAAATAAGCATTGAGGCAGTCCTCATTCCCCAATTACAACCCTGCAGAGCCAGTAGTGGGAATTCCTCATGCGTATGGTGGGGATGAGTCAATCCAGAGAACACCACAGTTGACTGCATTTTATTAACGCCCGGCTCCGAGCACGGCACCCTTCTCTAGGCGGCGAGCAGTGACCACGGGCATTAGGCTGTCACCCTCCCATGGACGTTCATGTCCTCTTTCCCACACTCTACTTTGTGCACCTGCCCTCATACTCGCATTCATGCCCTCACACCCACGCTCACACCAGCATCCACGCTCACACCAGCATCCACGGTCACACCAGCATCCACGGTCACACCAGCATCCACGCTCTCCAAGTCTCACCCACGCTTCCAGACCCACGCTCTCTCACCCACACTCTCTCACCCACACTCTCTCACCCACACACTCACACTCTCTCACCCACACTCTCTCACCCACACTCTCTCACCCACACTCTCTCACCCACACACTCACACTCTCTCACCCACACTCTCTCACCCACACACTCTCACACACACTCTCACACCCACTCTCTCACCCACACTCTCTCACCCACACTCTCTCACCCACACACTCACACTCTCTCACCCACACTCTCTCACCCACACACTCTCACACACACTCTCACACCCACTCTCTCACCCACACTCTCACACCCACACTCTCTCACCCACACTCTCACACCCACACTCTCTCACCCACACTCTCTCACCCACGCACTCTCACCCACACTCTCTCACTCACACTCTCTCACCCACACTCTCACCCACACTCACTCACCCACACTCTCACACCCACACTCTCTCACCCACACTCTCTCACCCACACTCTCTCACCCACACTCTCACACCCACACTCTCTCACCCACACTCTCTCACCCACACTCTCACACCCACACTCTCTCACCCACACTCTCTCACCCACACTCTCTCACCCACACTCTCTCACTCACACACTCTCACCCACACTCTCTCACCCACACTCTCTCACCCACACTCTCTCACCCACACTCTCTCACCCACACTCTCTCACCCACACTCTCTCACCCACACTCTCTCACCCACACTCTCTCACCCACACTCTCTCACCCACGCTTCCAGACCCACACTCTCTCACCCACACTCTCTCACCCACACTCTCTCACCCACACTCTCTCACCCACACTCTCTCACCCACACTCTCTCACCCACACTCTCTCACCCACACTCTCTCACCCACACTCTCTCACCCACACTCTCTCACCCACGCTTCCAGACCCACACTCTCTCACCCACACTCTCTCACTCACACTCTTTCACCCACACTCTCACCCACACTCACTCACCCACACTCTCACTCACACTCTCTCACCCACACTCTCACCCACACTCACTCACCCACACTCTCTCACCCACACACTCTCACCCACACTCTCTCACCCACACTCTCTCACCCACACTCTCACACCCACACTCTCTCACCCACACTCTCTCACCCACACTCTCACACCCACACTCTCTCACCCACACTCTCACCCACACTCTCTCACCCACGCTCTCTCACCCACACTCTCTCACCCACACTCTCTCACCCACGCTCTCTCACCCACACTCTCTCACCCACACTCTCTCACCCACGCTCTCTCACCCACACTCTCACCCACACTCTCTCACCCACACTCTCTCACCCACGCTCTCTCACCCACACTCTCTCACCCACACTCTCTCACCCACGCTCTCTCACCCACGCTCTCTCACCCACACTCTCTCACCCACACACTCTCACACACACTCTCACACCCACTCTCTCACCCACACTCTCACACCCACACTCTCTCACCCACACTCTCTCACCCACACACTCTCACACACACTCTCACACCCACTCTCTCACCCACACTCTCACACCCACACTCTCTCACCCACACTCTCACACCCACACACTCTCACACACACTCTCACACCCACGCTCTCACACCCACGCTCTCACACCCACGCTCTCACACCCACACCCTCACACCCACACTCTCTCACCCACACACTCTCACACACTCTCTCACCCACGCTCTCTCACCCACGCTCTCTCACCCACGCTCTCTCACCCACGCTCTCTCACCCACACTCTCTCACCCACACACTCTCACACCCACGCTCTCTCACCCACACTCTCACACCCACACTCTCACACCCACACTCTCTCACCCACGCTCTCTCACCCAAACTCTCACACCCACACTCTCTCACCCAAACTCTCACACCCACACTCTCACACCCACACTCTCACACCCACACTCTCTCACCCACACACTCTCACACCCACACTCTCTTACCCACACTCTCTCACCCACGCTCTCTCACCCACGCTCTCTCACCCACACTCTCTCACTCACACTCTCTCACCCACACTCACTCACCCACACTCACTCACCCACACTCTCTCACCCACACTCTCTCACCCACACTCACTCACCCACACTCTCTCACCCACACACTCTCACACTCACTCTCTCACACCCACACTCTCTCACCCACACTCTCACACCCACACTCTCTCACCCACACTCTCTCACCCACACTCTCTCACCCACGCTCTCACACCCACGCTCTCACACCCACGCTCTCACACCCACGCTCTCACACCCACACTCTCACACCCACGCTCTCACACCCACGCTCTCACACCCACACCCTCACACCCACACCCTCACACCCACACTCTCTCACCCACACTCTCTCACCCACACTCTCTGACCCACGCTTCCACACCCGCACCTGCGTTCTCACACCCTCGCCCACACTCATGCACCCGTGATTAACTTTTCCATGACCAATGAACTGCTGAGAAGAGGGTGATTGGGCAGCGAGTCTCGTGTGTGACCTACATTTGTTTGAGTCCTGCGTTTTCTGTTGTTATGAATTACATGCGTTTTGCGTTCGCCTGTATCCCTCGTGTGATGAGGTCATTGCTGTGGCCAAGGGGTGGTGCTTTGTGATTGGCTGGATGTGTGTGCTGTGCACGTCTCGTGTGGCTAACTGGTTTTGCGTACAGTGTGTGTTTTGTGATGTTGGCTGGTTGTACGTATTGTGTGGTTGGCAGGTTGTGGATATTTTGTGTGTATTTTATAGATCCGGCCAGGTGGCGCAGCAGTAGAGCGAGTGGCTTGCAATCGAAAGGTCGTGAGTTCGTGTCCTGGTTGGGGGTTTACTCGGCCCAATATCCCTCTGGGGTCACTAAAAGTGGGGAAGCAAACAGAGGTTGCCCTATGGATAGGTTCACCCCCGCCATAGGAATGTGCAATTTCCACCATGGAATCAGGGATTTAAGCAGGAAATGAGCATCAGTCCCATTCAAAGAGGAAATTACTTTGACTGTTGACTTTGATTGTATGGTTGGGTAGTTGTGTGTATTGTGCATGTTTATTTGTCTGGTCTGCTGGGTGTGTGTACGACGTGTGGACTGTGTGGTGGTGGTGCTGCTGCTGCAGGAGGAAGAGGGTCTTGTGTTCACCCGCATGAAGTCCTACGAGGGTGGGGCTCGTGTGCACGCGCTCGCGTGGAGCCCTGACACGCACCTGGGTCCCCACCCCCAAATGCTCAGGTACGGTGTCATTGCTCGTCCTCTACCACCTCCATCGCTGTGACACTCGGACGGTGAGCAGGGTGCGTTGTGCGATATGTGCTCCTTGTGCGATGTCTTGCAGTGTCTGCAGTGCATGAGTTGTGCGGTGTGCGTGCGTTGTGAGTGTGGTGAGTGTGCGAGATGTGCGGAGTTGGTGCGAGCGTGGGGCCCGACAGCTGTGTTTGTGTTGGGGCGCTGCCGCCGCACTTCGGACAAACAAGGAGGGGGCGTGGTGGGAACGGGAGGGGGTCGACTGCAGTAACATGTGGTTTCTTCGGCTCCTCTTGATCCGGTGGCCGGTGAGGCAATAGCGGTAGTGGGTGACACGGTGCGTTCATGTGTGTCCCGGAAACACCGCTGCCCTGGATATGGCATTAGTCAAGTGAGACTTGTCATAATTGATTCAGTAAGGGAGTTAAGGCAATTAAGTGTCATAAGTTAGGATAGTCAAAGTAAAAATGTAACCGATAAGTAATAACATAATGTGATGAATACCAATAATGTAAAAATGTTCTTAATCAACATCAAAAGCAGAAATATACTTGCCTCAACAACCGACTGAAGTGCACCGAGCAATGGGAGTGATGATGTCATCACTCGTTTTTTTTTCTCTTTTTGTTTACGCTCGGATTTTACTACAGTCGGAGCTGCCGGACTCGTAATGAATTTTACTAACATTTGTACGCGGGTTCCTGGATGTGGCATTGCCAGGGTGGGGCCTCGTGATGGTACCACCGGCACGTGGAGGCCTTGTGTGAGATCACTACACGGCTGCGGCGGTGCGTGTGGTGATGCAGATGGACGCGTGGTTGTGTCTCTTGGTTCACGTGGTGCCTCCTATGCCTCCTATGCCTCCTTGGCCTCCTATGCCTCCTATGCCTCCTATGCCTCCTATGCCTCCTATGCCTCCTTGGCCAATGGGCAGAGCCTGCCATCTCTGGTACCAATTGAACATTCAGGGTTGCCCAATTGCGACTGCAGTCACCAAATCTCAAACTCTGTAATGCCACTGCTGACTTCAATCATTGGGTGGCTGGGTGGCGAGGTGGTAACACTTGTGCCTTAGAGAAAGATATTCCTGGGTTCGATTCTCTGAGTTTTTATGTTGTCTCCCAGTTCTGTATAGGTTTCCTCTGGATTATCCGGTTTCTTCTCATAGTTAATAAAAGCATGCAATGTAGTTGCAGTATAACTGGTATGGTGAAACACACAAAAGGAACTGGGCTCTTGCAGACTAGGAACGGCCCAGTTCTGGCCCGCAAACAGTACCAGGGCTGTAAGTTCCTTTGCTGCATGGCCCCTGAGAGCCCTTGGTGTTGGGACCTCCCGTCCCATCCATCTAGCCCCTCCCCACCCTCCCTACTATCTGTATTATTTCACCTTCAAATAAATTAATGTCATAATAGAATTGATTTAAAGCTTTCGTGACTGCAGGAATCCATACTCTTTGGTTTTTTCGGTAAAGTCACGTAGGTCAAAAAAATAATAGATCACGACGTTTCGATCGCAACACAAGCAACCGTCTTCAGGTGAAAAAGAGGGGGAATCTGCTGAGGCAGGCTGTTTATAAAGGTGTAGAGATGGGCGGGGCAGCTAATGTTATCATGTAGGAGCGAGTAGGAGAGAGCGAGTAGCAGAGATAAATTTGCTTGTAAATGTAAGCTCGGCGAGGGCCGAGCTCGGCTAGGGCCCGGAAATTTGAGAGTCGGCTAATATTGGCAGGTAGAGAGGGAACTTCAAAGCAGTTAAAACTTTACCTGGTTGATCACGTCCTTCCAATGATTGCTTAATTTGTATCCATCTTCTCGGTTGAAGTTATGTTTGTGTTTATAAATATGGATGGCTTCATGGACAAATCTTTGATGGTAGCCCGAAGGTTTTCAGAGTACCTTGGTCTCGGGAAAGACAATATCGTGTGAGCCCACCTCGTTCAAACAGTGATCAGCCACGGCAGAGGTATTGGTGCTGCCGTGTTTCAAATCTGCCTTGTGTTCGTGAACACGGTCCAAGACATGTCGTTTCGTTTCCCCAATGTAACTGCTGCTGCAGGCACAACTTAGTTTGTAGACACCATGGTATTGCATGTCAGGAATCACATTTTTCACAGATGGGATCAAATCAAGGATTTTGTGTACTGTGTTGAATCGAACCTGGATCTTATGTTTGTTCAAGATTTTGGAAATCTTTTTGGTAACCCCTGCTATGTATAGCAAGGTGATGGTTTTGATTGGGTCCTCAGATGGTTCTCTCCCTATGGTTGGGGATACAGCTTTGTGGACTGTGCGATCCGAATATCCATTAATCTTGAAGGCTTGGCGTACACGTGTTCCAGTTCACTGGATAGGTGGTGCTGGTCGGAGGTCATGTGTCTGGAGTCAGGTCGATTAGGTTGTGTCTCGGGTCAGGTCGTTTTTTTAAATCTTAAATTACCAGAGAAACAATGAAAAAGGAAGATCCACAACAGCAGCTGAGAAGAAATCCACATGGAGGAAAACAAATACAAGATTGCTAAGAGGTGGTGATAGAATGTGTTTCATGAATTGAGCGGTTACATTCACGGTGCAAATATGCAGCGATGGAGTGCTTGAAGGTGGTCAGAGATGGTAGCATCGATAAACCCACATTATTTTCTCATTTGATCCAAAACACAGATGCTGCACGCAACAATGTTTTTGAGTCGCATTGTAACACAGCTCCCGGCTCGTTACACTCATGCCCATCGTTCGGGACACTGGGACGCGGTCACCGTAGGAGGTGGTTTGTGGTCAGAGGCATCGGGAAGATTGGAGCGTCATGCAGGTGATGCATCCAGAACGATCCGACTCCAAAGGCTCAACGCGTTTTCCATTCTCCAGCTCGGTGCGTGAATCCAGTTGTCTGGAGCCCTGCGTATGCAGAGATAGTCATGTGCAGACGTATGGATGTACACACACTGCAAAAACAACGAGCGGAGCACTGGGTGGCTAAACCACAGCAAGTTGGCGCAGTAGGGGCACAGGTGGTGCATCGGCCAGTCATTTCATTCAGTCGACCCGTGACACCTGGGTCTGCCCCGTGACCTCCTGACGTCACCACGGCGCTTGTGCCAGGCTATGTGCACGTTAAGGTCACGTGAAGTGTCGAACGCCCGCTGACAGAATGTCACGGGGCAGACCCAGGTGCCACGGGTCGACTGAATTAGATGACTGGCCGATGCATCACCTGTGCCCCTACTGTGCCAACTTGCTGTGGTTTATCCACCCGGTGCTCTGCTCGTTGCTGTGAGCGTCGCTCCTCTGCCCTCCTTTGTTGTTGGAAGGCGACTGCCTCCAACTGCCCAATAGCGTCCTTCATGAGCCTCCTCCTTGACACCGCTGGTACCAGTCATCGGCAAGTCCACTCAGCTCCACATCATTTGTACCACATCACTCCATCTCTCCTCTAGCCTGTGCCAGGCCCGTTTAGCCCCCTCTATCCGGCCAAACAAAAGCTGTTTAGGCATGCGGTGGCTGGGCATGTGGGCTACATGACCCAGCCAACGCAGCCTTACCTGCCGGAGGAGCTCACCGAAAGGACTTTGTCCGCATCTTTCAAGGATTTGTGAGCTCCTCACACAATCCAGCCTGGTTAAACCCAAGATGGATCGTAGGCAGGCCAGCCGAAATGTTTCTAACCAGCGAAGATGTTCCATTAGGGGGGTCAACGTTTCACAAGCGTAGAGAAGTGAGGGCATGACTGTGGCCAGAAATACCTGAAGCTTTGTGTGGAGTGACAGACCAGGTAGCTTCCACACAGCGTTACGCAACCGATGAAAAGATGATGCCACTCGACTGATTCGGAGTGAGACCTCTGCTGTAAAACCGGAGCCGGTCATTAGTACACTGTCCAGCTATGGGAAACTCTCCACTCTATCCACAACAGCGCCATCACAATTTGGGAGTTGTGGGAGTGGAGTGCCTGATGGTACAAAATATACAGGCATACAGATACATACAGACGTTCATATTCACGCAAATATGTATCTGTGCAGACGTGCACAAAGACACAAGAACACACACATGGACACAACGACATACACACTTAGACACGGATACAGACATACATAAACACCCACGATTAGACACATGGACACACATTTACACAGGCTGACACAAGCACACGCAGACATACACACATATCGACACACTGACAAACGGACACACACTAAGACGCAGATACACATTCATAGACAACAGTAACACCCGCCATTCGCCACTAAGTGGCAGTGATGTCACCACGGCACTTGTGCCAGGCCAAGTGCACTTTGAGGTCACGTGAAGTGTCGAAGGCTCGCCGACAGGAGGTCACGGGACAGACCCAGGTGCTATGGGTTGACCTACTGAGATGGCTGGCAGATGCACCAGCCGTGCCCCCTGCCGTCCCAACTTGCTGCGTTTTAGCTGTCCGGCGCTCCATTTGTTGTTGTGAGTGTCGCTCCTCTGCCCTCCGTTGTTGTTGAAGGGCAAATGCCTTCAACTGCCCAGTAGCGTCCTTCACGAGCCTTCTCCATAGAGGCTGATCTTGACATCGCTGGTACCAGTCTTCGGCAAGTCCACTCAGCTCCACATCCTCCTGTACTGCATCAGTCCATCTCTTCTCCAGCCTGTGTCATGCCCATTTAGCCCCCTCTGTCCAGCCAAACAGAAGCTGCTTGGGCATGCAGTGGCTGGGCATGCAGGCTACATGACCCAGCTAATGCAGCTTTGCATGTTGGAGGAGCTCACTGATGAGAATATGTTCAGTTCTTTCAATGATTTGTGAGTTCCTCACAATCCAGCCTAGTTAAACCCAGGATGGATCAAAGGCAGGCCAGCCTGAATGTTTATAACCAGCGCAGATGTTCCTTTAGAGGGGTCTACAGACACACACCGACACACACAGTATTACACTCACAGTCAGACACATACGGATATATTCACAAACATGGACACAAAGACAGCACCCAACAACAACTGACTGCC